GGCTTGTGGCTGTATCCTGCAGGGATGCACCAGCGACATGGAGAGACCCGCACCAGCTCACACTCACCAGACCACTCTGAGCAGGCCTATTTCTGGAAGCCATCCTGATTTGAGGGGCTCTGCTGTGCTCCCCATGGCTCCTGGTGCCTGGAGGGTTTTTAGCTCACCTCAGTGTGAAGGTGGCTGCACAGACTCTGCTCACTTCTGCCTGCACAGGGTGCTGCTGGAAAGCTGATTACCCTGTGCAAGCCTGACAGTGCCATAAGCCCCCCGGAGTCTCGCAAATCCAGCTCAGGTCTAGAGCAAAAATATTACCTGAGTTTTTTCCATATCCAGAGAACTCCAGTCCCTCAACACCAGGAAAGAAATAGAGTTTACTGCACAGATTTTCATTCCTCATTGCTATAGGAGCAGGCAGTGGAAGATCCACTCCTGTCCTCTTGTATGAACAAACTCCTCCTTCCAAAGACAGTAGAAAAAAACATTGCCAAATCAACTTTTTCCCTATTTCAGAGCTCTCTCTGACTCCTGAGCCTGCACGCAGCGTCCAAGTGCTGCCGCTAGTGGCCACGGCGTCCCACTGCATGCTGAGTGCCGCTTTGCCCACATCCTTGGGAAGGAGCTCCATCTGCTGAGCCGGTGGCTCAGGCTGAGTCCCAGAGACCATTGCCAGACTTGTCCTGGGGCTGTGGGGTGACTGGTCATCAGGCATTCCTGGGGTAGCACTGAGATCATCAGACCCTCTTGTATCAGGACCAGTGCTCTTGAGAAGCTCCTGGGAGTTTTTGAGGTGCCTTCCCCCTGATGGAGAAACAAACTGAGCAGAGAGCGATAAGCAAAGTGCAGGTGAGGGGAGAAAAGGTCCTTTTGTGCAATCATGTGAGCAGACTGGGGGAAGTGGAAATACAGGAAAAGGAGGAATAAAAGGTTGCTGTCATCTCAGTCTTCTTTGAATGAAGTCAGTGAGCTGAGCTCATGTCAGGTGAAGGAAGAAGCCAGGAAGTGACCTGGGTTTCAGTTGGGCTTTCTCCCACTTAGATCCAGGCTCAGCTGGAGGCTCTGCTTGGAGAGGGGGCTCCTGGGAGCTGCTTGCAATAGCAGAGAGATGAAGAGGCTCAGCTCTTGAAGGGGAACTGCTCTTGGTCACTGTTTTCTTGTGACAATGAACCAAAGACCCACCATGAGGGCAGGACCAGTTAGGTCCTTGAGGGACGCTTCATGCTCTGCATGGGTTAAGCCAACTGCCTGCCAGAGTGAGGAGTCCTGGACAATTCATCTCATGCCTGCCCCTGTGGGACTTCTTGTGGCACTGATGCACACTCAGTGGGAGATTAGGCTCTCAGGCAGACTGAGCACATCTGCTCTGGGATCCCCATGGTCTCAGCCTGCTGCTCACATGGGATCAGGAGCAAATCTGCAAGGACACATCTAACCCAGGCACCTCTGGAGCTGTTGCTTTATCCCAGACCAGCTCCACTTCCCAGCCATGGGAGAATTTTGGTATGTAAAAATACCTTTTTCCTTCTGCGTCCCTTCTTGGAGGTACAGGATCTTTACTGTGGTTATTTTCATAAATATTCAATGGCAAGTGCTTCTCTGTGAACAAAGGTTTCACTGCAGAGAAAACCTGCAATAGGCCAGAGAGCTGAAAAGAAAACTAATGAGCATTTGCACCTTGCCTGAAGGACATTACCCAGGGAGAGAGGAAGATTTCACTCCTAAAATACCAAACAAACAGGGAGCCCCTCAGAACCCCAGGGGTCTCACCCCAGGTCTCACCCCAGGTCTCACCCTGCAGACCCAGTGCAAGTTTTGCCACTTCTGTTCTGGGATGACAATAAGGGTACAGGATTGAGCTCGGATTTTAAGCTGCTTGCTGGCATCCCCAGTGTTCTGAAGTACCTTGCTGGCTCCAAGACTGAAGTCAAAACCTAACAGATGGCCATGCTGTTCCTGAGCACCCCGAAAGTTTTAGGCTGGTGAAATGTTCGTCTCTGCTTATTCCCCAAGCTGCTGCGTGCTGAAAAGCAGTGTCTGTCCCAGACCAGACAGGGCTGCATTTGAGTGTCTGGTGAGTGACCCCGGTGTCTGAAGATTTGGTGGTTAGTACCATGCCACCATCAGGAGATGATGTTTCACTTGATGGTCACTTCACTCTGATTAAATTCACCATGAGCTGCAAAACGATGAGAAAAAGCAATGCACCCACCAAACTGACGATGGAGACAAGAACAAGGCTGTTCCATGGGACTTAGCTGGCAAGGACTAACTGACATGGAAATTACGTGACCGAGAGCCAGCAATTACAGGACTATCCTGCTCCACGTGGGAGAGGCCACAGCTGGAAAATAGTTTGCTGTCTCCTAGGGACAGCCCAGGAAAGGCTGTGGAAACTATTTGAAGAAAGCATCCCTATGCATGAGGCTGCACCATGCCATAAGCAAGGCAGTGCACTGGGGAAGAATGGGCTCTAAGGCTACAGAGCAATTGCATATGAAAATACTTTCTTGCATTTAAAAGAAATAAAGCCAAAATTGTGCCCTGAAACCCTAAAAATCTCAGTGTCTGATATTCAGCTGATTCCTTTCGGTCCATGCTGACAGAAAGACTGATCACTTTTCTCCAGGGCTTATATAGGGCACTGGTTTCTGGTTTAGGGTCTCCTCAATCCGGTGTCAGAGGTTTGTTCAGTAGCAGCCCGAACATCCTGCATCTCATTAAGGGATTGCCAAAGCCATAAAAAAAGATTTGCCATTGGATCCCTCAGGAGTTCGTAGCAGGATCAGTGGTATTTAATATCTTCAATTAATGACACAGAAGATAAGATGAAGACTTTTCCTTCCATTCCTTTCTTTCCTTAGGGCAAGGAAGTGAGTATGGCTTAACAGTAGGTTAACCTCTGTTAACCTGCTTCAAATAACCTCTCAGTTATTCGAAGCAAGAAGATACCCTTCAAAAAGCTCGAATCACACTCTGGAGAAGAAAACCCCCTGGATTTCCTGAAGGTTTTGCACAGAGTTTAAAAGACCCTCAACAGGAAAAGAGGGGACTCAGAATAAGAAGGAAGGTCCTGGAAAGATTAAATATCTTCAGAAAGAAGGGAAGGAGTGGGAATGGGATTGTGATCATTCTCCTCAAGGAGGTGACAGGGCCTTGCCCAGGGCAAAATCTGAGCTGCTTATCATGCAGAGGCAAAAAATCTGCAAAACATCCTGGGATTGGGAAATCATGGGCTGGAAAAGAGTAGGGGACACACTATTTTCTCAGTTTTCGCTCAGCATCCTCTGTGGGACTCTGGTGGATTCAGGCCTGGGGTTACACCTGTAGCCTGACCCTGCATGGTCCTTCCCATGCCAACCCTACAGCAAAAATGCCGAGAGCCCCTGTCTGCCAGAAGGAGGACAACCCCAGGCACATACAGGGAAAGGCTTTGCTGGGTGCATAAAAGCAACTGCAACTGAGTGGATTGGGATAAATCTGGGCTTTAGGAGCTCCAAGGCAAACTTCATGGCTTTGGGCGGATCACAACCTCTCCATGCCTCTGCTTCCCTTGTATGAAACAGACAGAAGGGCCAGGAGGAGAAACAGGAGGCATGCCAGCTCTCAGGGTGAAAGCAGTAGCAGGATCCATGGTAGAAAAGAACAGTGACCTCTTCACCAGGATATTTGCTTCAGTGTTCTCCATCCAATGGAGAGGCCTCTTCAACCTGAGCTCTTTCCTCTCCTTCTTCTCCTGTGGGAGGGACACACTCACCCAACAACACACTGGAGAGTTTGCATTTTCAGTCCCAGTCACGCAGTGCAGAGTTTAACACCTGTGCCTTTTAAAATTAAAAATGCCCAGTATTTAGTGCAGCTTGACCCATTCCCACAGGGCAAAGAAACCAGTAATCACAAAGAAACCAGTTCTGTGATATTTTTCTTGAGCACAGTGTTACAGTCAGGCAGGAGCAACCCCACCAGGGTAAGAATTTACCCCAGCCTTCCCCTTTGATTGATCACAGGATATCCCTTGCTATATGCAGATCCACCTGTGAAGAAGCCAGACTACTTTGAAGCCAGATCCCCCTTCTGAGAGTGGGAAAGCTGGGAGCCATCATCCCAGGGCTGGGCAAAGAGAGAGTTGCACCATTGCAAGGCTATGGCCTAAGCCTATGCCCTTGCATAAATGCCAATACTGTGCTGGTTTAATTTAACAGCTTGGCCACTAAAGGAAGCAATTCCCAGCCCTCCAAGTGACTCCTGGCCTCACAGGCAGAGCTGGGAGATGCAACATTGGTGCCAACTAGGACTGGACACCAAAAGTAAAAGTGAAACCACCATTTTTAAATGTTTTTGAGACACTTAAAAGGCAAGGATGACCCCAGGTGAGAATGACCCCAGCCAGCATATGGGACAGAAAGGAAAGGATGTGGCTGAATGGGAGTATCTCACTAGCAAAATTACAGCTCTCGCTGCTGCTTCACCTGTCAGCCTTTGCTGCTTTTCTTCTGGGAGGGATGTGTGGTTTCCCCACTGTGCAGAGCCCAAACTGATGCATGAAAAGCCAAACTCGACCCAAGCAACCCTTGAGGTGACCATCAGGGCAGACCCGCAGCAAGACCCTGCTCCCCATCCAGGAGCTCAACTCCCCCTTCCATCACCCTCCGGCTCCAGGACCCCCACAGCTGGTTTGTGAGGTTTTATCTCTGCCAGGAACTGTGACAGTCCCTAAAATCATCTTGGTGGGGATAATTCTCTCTAAAGAGAAAACGACCCCATGACAGCACAGCCAAGTGCAAGGTTTCAGCAAGCGCATCCAACGCCCCTCGGGGCATTCCTGCCGAAATTTGCTTTTCCTTGCCAGGCCTCCCCTGCATCCTCCTCTGCTCCCAGCCCCGGGAAGGCAGCCTGCCAGCCTGCTTAGCATGCGCTTGTCATTGCTGGGAGCAACTGCTGCTGCTAAGGAGCCAAGCTCGGCGGCCACGAGCATCTCAGTCCAGTGTCCCCCCCCATCCTGGCTCGTCATATGATTTCTCCTAAGGGATAACTGCTGAGCTGGACCGTGTCTCCAAGCTGATCCTTTGCTGATAAGCCGGCTGCCAAGCCTTCAGTGCTGAGACAAAAGAGTTTTTCTCGTCCCAGCAGGTTTTTCTGCTGTGAATGACAGAGAAAGGGGGAAAAGTGAGCTGCCTGGCACTGTTCGTGGGCAAGAGGCTTTGGGGGCTCCTTCTCCCCTGCTGTGCTGGCAGACCATGGAGCTTTTCAGGCTGAGCCTGGGCTGTATTTGTCTTCTTCCTTGGCTTGAGGGTAAGTTTCTCCTCCTTTGGGGTAGCTGTAAAGTAGGAAGAGAACTGCCTCCCAGGTTTTAACCTGCTTTTCTGCTGAACTGTTGCTTGGGCTGCAAAGCTCTGAACCCACTAGCTGTAAAACAAGTGCCTCCAGGCACATTTCAGGGCAGCATCTAAAATGGTGTTAAACACAGGGCTACAGAAGAGTGAGGGACAGGCTGGCAAGGTGCGGGGATGGTTGGGCCAGGGACACCACAGCATCATGCCAGCCACTTTTATAAAGTGCTTTTAAAGTTCTAAGAATGGTGGATGAATGAACCTGCTCTGGGAGGGAGGCAGGCACTAAGTGACTTCCTAAGGACTTCCCTGCCCCATCTGCCCCTTCCCAGGAGAAGTGAGTGGGCTCAGAACATGCTGGCAGCATGAGAGAGGGTGGTGGGAAGGGCAGCAGGACCTCGATGTAATTGTCCTCCTCTTGTGGTGGGGGTCTAGGAGGAGGATGTACTGGGAAGCTGCAGTGTCTGCACTGCTCATCTCCGTGGAACAGACCCGGTAGTGGCTCGTGTTAACATTCAGCTGCTTTCTGAGGTTGCTAAAACCCTGTATCGTACACAGGAGTATTTTGCACCCAAGCAGTCTTGGTTCTGACATGCATGGGTAGATGAGAAAAGCAGAAGTCCTATGGAGTGTTATCTTGCAGAGCCAGAGCGGCGCTGCCCAGGAAGAGCTACCTGGCAGTGGTGCTGCCTGTGGTCTCACCCATCCCATCGTGGGCACTGGGCAGATCTATTTCCCTTGAAAAGAAAAACTCCCCAAGCTAATAAGCACTTCCCTTTTTATTATTCCTGAGATGTCAGGTTGAAAGGGACTCATTGAAATAAATCCCTGAAGTGCTTCAAGGCTCATTCAGACTCTGAATCTGAGAGGAGAACAGCCCTGCAGTTTTACAGGTTACCTGTTCAGAGCTGTTCAAAATCCCTTGACCAGAGGGCTACAGCTATTTGGGTTGCAAAGCTGGGATGTTTATGGCTTAAAGACAACCCTCAGACTGGCAGCTCTGACAAGCTACTTTCCATTCCTTGCTCCACAATCTCTATGTGCATGTTCCCTGGGATGCTTTGAGCAGCCAGCCCTTATTTTCCTCTGCACCTGGGTCAAAAGACAGGTTTGTACTCCTACAGGTTTGACTTCTGCTATTTTTTCCAATTAGAGTAAATCCAGTGAACTGAGTCTTTCATTTTGTAAAGCCCCAGGCTGAGGGTATGTCACTGTACTATTAAGGGGTGACAATACATGTGCATTTTTTAAAAGTTAGAGGAGATCTGGTTAAGACCTGGAGATGACACCACGGTGGGATGTTGGGAAAGCAGAGTAGCCTTTAGGGTCTTGCTCTTTCTCTCCCTTGTCCAATGTTAGAAGAAAGTGATTTTTTTCTGTTGCCACACAACAGGAGCCTCATGGCTGTGTTTTATTCGTAAAGTATGGAGGATCACAGGACATTTCTTTTCCTTTCCAGTGTAATGCTTTCCGTGAAACACGTGCTCAAACTGCTGCATTTCAGCCAGACCACTAATAAAACCACAACTGTTTTGCCAGAAAGGAATTTATCTTCCCAACACCTGGCAGTGCCCAAAGAAGCTCAAAGAGCAGAGCACAAACATGTTCTTGCTTGGGGCTGATCTCCCCCTGCAGCAGCCTCTCCCCATTCCCTCCTGCCTGAGGCTGCTGAGTTTTAAGGCTGCTGGCAGGACAGAGGTGCTTGCTGTCGACAGACCTTTGAGGGTTTGGTTTCCTGCTGGAAACTGAAAATCCTGGAATTGCCTAAGCTGGTCCTGACAGCTGTTTCTTTGGACAGTACCTGCAAGCAGGGAGGGAGCTAAAGTGTTTTCTTACAAAGTCAAACCTAACGGTGACTCTGTGAGGTGGGGGTGGGTGGGCGAAGGGAAGTTGAGCACCAGAAGTATTTGTGTCTATACAGACAGAAAGAAAACTGCTGAAATAAGACTGCATTCAACACCTACTCTGGATCCTCATGCACTAAGTGTGAGGCTGGTGGTGGCTCTGCTTGGCATTTTGGCCTGATCCCGTACCTTAGGAGCCACTCTCCTCTCCCTCAAGCCCATGGCAGTGCTGGCTGATCCCTGATCCCTCATGTCTCAAACTCAAAAGACAGCCCTAAGCAATTGAAGAGGCAGAAAAGCCAAGCTTATAGGAGACTTCTCCTCCCCCTTTAATTTTCTAGTCTCCAACTATTTTCAGCTTGGGGGATTTCCTGACTGTAGTGTGTTTAACTCTTCAGTAGCTATCAGATCTCCTCTGCTGGCTTGTGCAGACTCTCCCTGGCAGCAAGGATGCACAACTCCTGGGTACAGAACCACCTCCTGCACACTGTGAGCTGTCCCTTGGCACCCCCCGTCCCATCTGGGATCAGTCCTTGACCAGACAGCCCCTGTCCATCCTTTCCAGACCTCTCTGGATTTTATAGACACTCACCATATCCTCCCAGGGACTGGTTTTCCCCACTTGCACCAGTTTTGTGGTGACGTCTCCAACTTCCCCAGCTTCCCATCATTTATAGATTTTTTTTTTCCCATGCCCCAAACATTCCTTCTTTTCCTACGGCTGCTGTGCTCACCAGCTCCAGTTCTGCCTGTTCTGCTGGGCAGAAGCCTATTTGCTCTCCAGCAGGGACCCACCAGGCTCCATCCAGCATCATCCTCTCCATAGGGAGATTGGCCACATGCACTGAACTGACACGGACATTTGTGTCTCTCAACTTTACATCAAGCAAGTACAGTTGGAGGCTGAGGGAGGACTGGGGCAAAATAAAGCAAATGGTTCCAGTCAACAGCAGTTCTGCAAAAAAAAAATTTACTTAATCTCACCTCCTGCCATGCTGGTATTGGTTATAAAAACAGAAAACAGAGTGCCAATTTCACCACTCCCTTGTGCACATCTGAATTTCCTGTCTTTGACCAAACACATACCATCATACTTCTCTTAGGACAGCAAGTGCCTTCCAGCTGCTTTTAATTTCTTCATCCCACAGCTCTGGGCTGGAGTCCTGCATGGGCAGCAGACAGGGGCTTGCTCCTTTGCATGGAAGGAGATGTTTCCATTCGAAGGATTTGCTGATGGGCTGCGTTCAGCTCTGCTCCTACTCACTCGGGGCCCTGTTTGCCTACACCTGACAGTAGCTCAAACTGATTGCCTCAGTTTGATTCAATGTAATATTCCTACAAGGGATCAAAAGAGAGCAATGTCAACACCTGCACCAGGAATCCTCCTGCCTTAACTGGGAGTTTCCCTTTGCTGCTACTGCATCATCTCATTTGTATCTTTGCCTGAAGGGAGTAGTACCAGTAGTACCATAATTAGTAGCAGTGTATGGAGTGGTGTTGTCCTCATCACCACAGTGTCTGTGTAGCTAAAGATGGCTTTTCCCATATTTTCTGGTTAAATTTTACCTCTTTTGGGCTGGAGCTATTTCTGGTAGGAACTGGAGTCCTTCACAACTCTTTTTAGAGCTAGGGCAAAGACCAGCATTGCTGTCAGGGCAGCTTGAGAGGATGTGAGTCTTCCAAAGCCTCTTCCCATCTCATGCTCTTTGAACCCTTGCAATAGTCCAAGAAGGCAAGAGGGGCCTGGGAGAGCTGATATTCAGGGGAGTTATGCAAGGAGACAAACATATGGGATGTATATGAGAATTGTGTGGGTCAGTCTCCATTGGTGTATGCTCTGTGGAAAAGATAAGACCTGCTGCAGTGGAGAAGAGTGGAGGTAGATTAACATGAGCAGAAGACTCTCCGGGTTATCTCACCAGTAAGTCAGGCCATGGTCCTGCTGGATCTGAGGTTTCTCAGCCATGGTGCAGGTACCCCATAGGGCTGTCTTCATTTTGGGTGGAAGCAGCAGACAGCTTGGAGACGTTTCTCCCAGCCACTGTTGCCACTACCTGGGTCACTCGGGATGAGCTGCTGTCACACGGTGGTACCCAAAAAGAGACACATTTGGGAGCTCTTCTGGGCTGTGAGATGTCCCCACAAAGCAGTCCCTATGAGAGGTGCCATGGCGGCTGCAGATGGATACCTGTCTTTGAGGTCAGGTAGAGGCAGGAAAAGGTAAATTTCTGACTGTGACTCAGCACACATCTCTCTACAGAAAACACTCACTTGGCAAAGAGAATTTGAGCTAATTAAAAGATTTTTCCAAGTGTTAGGAACCCCACTAGGCCAAAGCCAATGCTGATATTCCTGGGTGACCTGGAGTGTTTTGGGAACCTGTGCTTGCTCAGCTCTGACTTGGTTCCCTCCACAGAGCCTTTAGAGAGGACAACCCACCCCGAACAATTTGCAAGTGTCTTCTATCAAACCATCACAGAAATGGCAGAAAAGCCTAGAAACAGCAGAAACTTTCCCAGCCGCACTGGGATTACTGGTAACCAGGGCTTTACTGGTGGCATTACCTTAATTAGGAACATTGCATGGCTTTTGTTCCTAATCCTACATGGAACAGCATGTCCCAAGGGTGGCCATGCTGCAGAGAAGCAGGGGGCTATATTTGCCTGCTTTTTCTATCTTGTAACCAGACAGAGAGGCAGTATCATAGGACAAACGAGCTGGCATCAAGAGCCTTGCTAGAAATTGTTTATTTTGTACCTAAAAATATGAAGAGGCCTAAGTGTTCAAGTATGAGCAGCTCAAAGCAGGCATCTACTTGGGCTCTGTGGGTAAGGCTCGTATTTTCCAGAAACGCTGAGTCCCATCCTCAGGGAGTACACTGGATGCTCTGGTTGCTCCAGGTTAACATCCCTAAAATGTTAGGGTTGATGGCCTTATTTGCTGGACCATTGGACAGTGGGGACTTGGCAATGTCAGGAAAAAGAATGTCATTTTGCCTCCTGAGTAAAGATTCTTAGTGCCTGACGTGTATCTCAAAGTAAACATACTCCAGCTTTAACTGTGTGGGGCATGTTCTTTAGAGTGGAACATAAAACACCAGGGGCTGTACACAAGAGAGCAAAACACACATCTGCTGGCTGGGTTAAACAGAAACACTCTTTAAAATGTAATAAAAATACACAAAACTTTCAAATGGACAGTCACTGCCAAGTAGGGAAAAGCAAAAAAGCAGCAGAGATTCTGGCACGTTTAACAATAAAACCTGTAATAAAACATAGGAGAAAGAGACTTAGATGAGGAACCTAGAGAGGGCACAAAAAAACTGCCAATGGAAATTTTCAAACGCATCTGAAATAGGAATTTGGTGGGGGTAAGGAGGTTAATAAACAACTGACATAAATATAAAAAGGGCAAAAATATAAATATAAGAAGGCCGAAAGTAGGGCAGTGTAGAAAGGCTGAATGGATCATTGGCTCTGGTGCTCACTTCAGACATGGTCAGGAAGTCACTCTCTGCAGTTTGAAGAGTGTTATCAAGCAAAATTGGCAACAGAGGAAGTTTTAGGAGGAAAAAAAAATCATAAATAATTCTGTGGCAAATGACCAGCCCACATGGCATTCACACTGAGTTACAGGAAACTAAAGATGACAATTTTTTTATACTTCTAAGGAGTGTGTAAACTCTTATTTAAAGCAACCTCAGCACCAAAGGGCTGCATTACAGACACGATGTCCCCCTCAAGAGGGATCCTTGCAGAGCCTGGGGAGACACAGGTCACAAGGCTTGATTTTGGCACCAGGAAAGTCAGTGAAAGCAAAGCACAGTATTTACAGGCAGACAGAAAAATATGAGAAAAGTCAACACAGCTTTTGTAATGGGGACATCTGACATCCATGAGGGCATCAGTGAGCTCATACATGGGGTGAGCTGACCAAGACTTTGTGCTTGTGTTTGCAAAAGGCTTTTTGATAAGATTCTTCCACCAAGGCCCTTAAGAAGCTCCATTCTCATGGAGTAAGAGAGAGGCTTAGCCCACAGGTTGGAACAAAGAGCTGGAATGAGTTGACGATGGTGACAGCAGAGTGAAGATATCAGCAGGTGCTGAAAAAATCAAAAGGGGTGAATAATGAAGTAATTAAGTTTGCTGATGTCACAAAATTATTGAGAATAATAAAAACTGAGGTTGGCTGTGTGGAACTGCAGAAGGAGCTCATAATACTGATGGAGCAACAAAATGATGGGATTTTTTACCTTCTGAGTTGAAAAATACAATGTAGTGTACATGAGAAAAACCATTTTAAGCATAAATCCTGGGCTCAGCAGATGTTTTAGCTGTCCCAGAACAGTTGTCATATTCCCCTGTTACTTTTTTTAGACAGCTCTCAAATCATTATTTTGGAAATGGGTTTCTCACAGTTAAACTGAAGCAAAGATGTGAGAATTCTGGATTTCAGATCCTAGGGAAAAAAGGCAGGGGTGGAATGGTGGTGGGATTGTGTTCATCCATTTCAATTTTCCGCGGATTATGGGAGATTATATATGAGATATTTCTCATGCCCTTTGAAACTGGCAGAAACTCAAGTCCAAAGTGCATTAAATATCTTACCTCCACCCAACCCTCAAAAAGGGTTAAAGAGAACAGGACTCATAAGCTGTCCACAGACAGCCTAGAAATTTAATTTCCATTTAGGCACATTGGCTTGGCAGAAATTGTCTGGATCAGTGGCTATCACAGGTCCATGAAACTCAATATACCAGTGCAGACACATCCATCCTCATCTCAGAGCTGGTGCAGTAGTACTGTGGTTTCTAGCTGCCTCTCTCCAGGTATTCAGGAGGAGCAGAAAGGCCTGATCTGTTTCTGATTTAACAGCCCCCAGGCACGAACCCCAGAATTTCCTGAGAGAAAAACATGAGAGCTCTTTTAAGCTATTGTTTATACTCTTGGTATTGTCTACTGGCTTCTGTTTATACTGTCACTTATTTTTTCAGGTACTGAGCCAAATACTTGCTACAGAGAAAAGTATTGTTCTTTGCTCTGGGAGGGGAAACTCTGCAGAAGTAGTTTAGATAAAATCAGTGTTCTTGTTTAACATCACTTTTCAGTGTCCTCGTTTAACATCACTTTTCAGTGTCCTCTTACTCTTTATGCTCTGCACTGTTTGCTGATGGGGCTTTTATAACTCTGCTCCTGGGGAAAACAGGGAAAAAAAGGTCACTGCTGAAAGCTGGGAGTTACCATGTGTTAATTGTAATGAAGAGATTTCCAGAATGTTCAAAAACTTGAAACTTATTTCTATTCCTCTGTCTTAGGCATAAAATACACAGCAGAAGGTACATCCACATCAGTGACAGATGGTTTGGCATTTAACATTTTGCTCAGGATGTTCACAGGCCACACCTGACGATTTTATACTGAAAACAGGGCCAATTGTCCACATAACATAACAATATCCATCCTAAGTCATCTGAGATGTTGGGACCTGTTGCTCTTAAAAGCAACAAGCAATTACAGAAATTGCCTCAAACTGTATGTTTGTTGTGGGATGGCTGTAATGTCTCTCTCTTACAAAGGGGTTGTTAAAAGTGGTACCTTCATGCCTGGGGTGCACAGACCAAAGTCAGGTGTGCCGAAAAGAAGATAATTTCAAAACTTACATGAGCAGCGTCAGCCAAGTACTTACACATTTCTGATGGAATATGTTTTTATCTCAACACTGCTTTAACATCACCAGAAGCCATTTAATGGAAAGTGTAGTGCAAGGTGGCCTAGCTGGCCCCAGATGAATAGCACTGGGGGAATTTCAATTGCTTTTTTATAAGGAAGATTTGACCCGGATAGAGGTGAAAAAACCCCAAACCATCTAATCATTTCGGAGGGAGGGAAGGATGGGTACCTAATTATAGCAGTTGAAATACTGAATTAAACATATATAGGCAGGTATTTCACAGAATCATAGAATTATTCAGGTTGGAAGGATGATAAGCTTTTTTCCCCATTAGTTACGTGGGCTGTTATTTTTCTCTGGCATTGCTCAGGGCTATTTACACACTCCGTATTTTAAAGAAATGCCATTCTGGGGAATTAGGAAGCTGAGGGAACTGTTTATCTGGGCATGTCCACCCAGAAAAGGACTGGTGGGTTATGTTCTCCCCTTCCCCAGGGCATTTACAATGTCTGGTGCCCAGAAGAGGCGTTTGCCTCAGACATGCACAGATACTAAACCGTGCTCTGATTGTACCGCAGTAGCAGAGGGACAAGGCTTCCTCATACGGAACACCCGCCTGGAAAAGTGCATTCGTGTCTCCCTCCACAACACCAACAGCATCAGCCTGACCAGCTGCAAGGCACATTCCCAGCAGCAGCAGTGGAGCTGGGACCCCGACAGCAGGACCATTGTCAGCCTCCAAACGAAGCAGTGCTTGTCGGCCCACAAGGCACGGGAGAACGCTCTGGTCAAGCTGGAGCCCTGCGGAGACTGGGAACGCCAGGCGTGGTCCTGCAGCAAGAAGGGGCACTTGACTCTGCAGAGTCTGGGCTTCCACCTCAGCACCCAGGAAGGAGGCCACAAGGTCTTTGTCTCAAGGGAGAAGGACAAACTCAGCAGGTGGAAGACTTTAGCAGATGAAACCATCTGTGCTGCTGCCCGGACAGCAGCTCGGAGGCCCAGCAAGCCAACACAACAAGATGTAGACACACGTGTGTGGATCTATGAAAGTAAGATGAGGTAGATTTAGCATCAGATAACATCTAACTTACATGTCACCCAAGCCACCTAACACTGGGCTTGCATCCATCATTCTAACTCATGTTCACTTCAGCCCCATCTGGAGAGAGAGCAGATGGCTCCAGCTCAGCTCCACTTGGTACCACTGGTTCCCCCAGTAGCTGCTGTTCAGTGTTTTCCAAAAAGCTCACACTACCTTACAGGATCAGGTCTCTAAACCCCAGCTGCATTTCTGATGACAGGCAAATATTTCAGAACGCACATAATATTTCAGGTGCCCATAGCCAGTAATAGTTGAAATTGCTTGAGCCTCCCAAGCCCAGAACAATGAAGACAGTTCCACAAAGTCAGGTGCTTTAGTCTTTTAAAGGGCTTTTGGTATGTTGGGAGGTCATTTTTGTTAACAAGACAACTGGAGGCAGCTGAAAATCACTTTTAAACTTGTACAAATCATTGAGAAGTAGCTATATTTGAAATCAGAAATTGTTATTCGAAATCAGAATTGTTATATAAGGTACAGTTATCTCCCTCGAACAATGCACGTTTCACTAATGAAACCATAATTCTAACCTTCATTCTGTGTTGTCATGAGCCTCAGAAGTGAACCTTGCTCCCAGTGCCTGAAGTAACCACAAAGAGATTAGTGAACACAGCAAGTCGAGGGAGGCAGTGTGCTGCTCTGCCTTTGCAGTAAGAAATCCTAGAAGACGACATCAAAAATTATAAAAAATCTGGTTTATATTATCAGTTTCATACCCTTGATCTTTGCTAAGAGAATCTAGTCTCTCCCTTCATGAGTGTTCACTAGCCTCTGCCTAGACAGGACACAAAAAGGGTAGAAACCCTGCTCCTGTCATAGTTTTAGGTGTTGGACACGAGGCTAAAAGACAACAGGCGTAGTCACTGTGCCACAATGACTGTCATCATTTGTCACATGCTCAGTGAAGCCCACTGCTGACCACTGATAATTCATGGTCCAGTCTGTTTCTCTCTTCCATTTAATCCCTTCTGTAAAGAATGGTGATTTCAGGACTTTTCTTGTAAATTTCTGTACAGAAGTGAGACCTGAAAATTACACTCAATTCCTCCCCTCATCCTCTCCTTTCTTCCACTCCAGGTACCAGAAAAAAGCTGGTGTTTGTAGTGGCTTTTCTGGGTTTGTTTGTCCCCTCTGTAGGTTATGAGGTTCTCAACCTTCTTGAGGAGAAATTATTTCCCTTACAGGAGGCTATTCCTTACTTTAAGGTTGATGGTCCAAAGAGATTTTGAGCTTTGTAGAAATGAGTAAAGAGAAAATGTGATGAATCTGGTTGGCATAAGCAGATGAATTATGCTTATATGAGTAATTATGAGTATAACCTTTCGACACAAAGAGGTTATATCTAATTTTAAATAAAAACAGATACATTAGCTGTTTGGGCTGCCATGTGAAGATACAGTGGCCTTTTTCCCAAGGTTTTTAATTAGCCAACTAGAAGGTTAACATGTAATTATCACTGTAGTCACAAGTAGTGTTTTGTTTAGCATGAAGTTAAATATGGACCATACAAATCAGATACCATAACAGGCTAGTTAAATATAGGCTAGGAAATGCGTGGAACATTTAAGATATGGGAAAAAGGCATGTGAAAAGAGCGTTTGCATTCCCCAAGGCACTGTTCCTGGCAGCCCAGGGCTGCCTCTGAGCCAGGATCCTCAAATAAGGTTGTGAGGGTAAACACTGAGCAGGCTTTGAATCAGGTTGTGCCAGTTAGCGTGTCTCATGCAAACTAATAATTATCCTATCAATCCCATGGTTCAGTCTACTGGAGGGAACCTCTGATCACTCACTAACAACATCAAAGTCCTATGTGTTTGTTTAGGCATTTCGTATCCAAGTTTCAGTTGATCATCGACAGAGAAGTTCTACCTCGGCGAGTTATTCACTCAATAAATTACACTTGTGTAACCACAAATGCCACAGGAGGGGATAGGGGTCAGATAGGCAGCAGGGAGCCCTGAAGACATGGGTTTTTTGATCTTGCCACACATATCAGTGCAGGAGAGGGGTGAATTGCTGCCCCAGGAATTCCCACAACCTCCCCTCTAGCAGCAGTTGCTTTCCCACTTGCCCTACTTCTGCAGTAGGACTCGAAGGCAAAGGAAGTTGCTGAGCCCTGCAAGAGGTATGGACTACTTAGCAACATTTTGATCCCATTTTTTCATCTGCAGAGTTGGTAGTAGCTGTGATTCTTCCTCTTGCCTCTTCCTCACACGTCATGCTTTAATAGCTGGTGTTGCACTCATACTTTTTAGACCAATGACCGTATTTACCACCAGAAAACAAGCTCTGCTTTGGTTGTTGATTCAGTCCCGAGATGTTCATTTCACCTTTAAAATCTGTGAAAACTGAAGGCCCCTGATGCACAGGAGGAGGTGATTCCTACTGCACCACATCTGTTTGCCTTGCAGGGCAGAGGACCAAAACAGCAGGAATGGGTTCCCTTTCCTTGCTGGGCATTGAGCATATTCAGGTTCCTGTACAAAAAGTAAATGATAATCATACAGATCTTTGCTTTATTTTCTTCCAAGCTAAAACCATTGATTCATCAAAGATCGATGCCGTGGACAGAGAGTCTCCTGTGATCTTGACTGACCCACCTCTGGCTAACAAATGGAACAGCACAGTGTCTCCAATAAGGACCAGACAGGCACAGATCCCAGCAAATGAGGGTGAGCACTTTTCTAAATGCATATGTGAGAACAGCAGGAAGGAAAGTGTGGGCAGCACTCAGAGGTTACTCAACTATTTTCAGTGCACTGAGGACTTCTGAAAAACTTCCATGTGTACCACGGTCTGCTTTCATAAACACACTGAGGTGTTTTCCCTTAGCAAGCAGTTCAGTGATATGGCCATAGCCTTAACCTGCAGGCACAGCCATTAGATGTTTTAGGAGCAACAAATACCAGTGGATGGGGAACACCAAGGAACAATACAGTTTCCTTTTCCCTTCTGGGTCCATACAAAGGGTATTTGTGGTTACAGTGCAGCCCCAGGAGGAATTTGGTGTTTTCTCTGGTCCAACTGGAAGCTTCTAATCTGAGTCTCTCTGCTTCTTCCCCTAGATGTATCCCAGAATCACTCTAAGAAGCATGGAAATCGAGGAAAAAACACTGGGGCCAGGCTTGCAGGTAGGTCCAGGGATCAGCTAGAGGAGGAAGGGACCAGGTAAATGAAGGTTCATCAGTGCTCCTGTCCTTCCCATCACAACAGAGCTACATTCCCCTGGGTACTGCTGAGGATGCTTAGTAGGAAGTAGGGCACCAAATTACCTGTCAGAAATACTCTTTTTAAAGATTAAACAAATCTCCACAGGCCTGGAGTAAAAACATGCAAATGCTTTGTTTCAGCTCATCAGAAGAATTAGATACCTACCTACGAGCACTGCTGCCTTCCCCCACCACTTCCTATTTTGTATCAGAAAGCTGCGGAGAGGAGAAGCACAAATAGTTATTGTCTTCACAGCAAAAAAGAAATCCTTTTGTGGACATTTTCAATAGAGGGGTGCTGTGTAGTGTAAAGCAGCTGTAAGAGGTTGATCTTGTAGACAAAACACTTTTCCTGGTATCTGCCAGTCTTTAGAGACATTACAGGTGCTTTTTTGTGTCAATTGTGGGTATTGCATAAGAGCAGGGATAGGTACAGCAAACACTTGATGCTTTCTATGATACCCTTTCAGGCACCAACTGGAAGACAGCCATGCTGGTCCTCAGCCCCTTGGCATTCATACTGGGATTAATAATACTGACACTCAATGTTCACTACAACAAGTAAGTGACATTCAGGTTCATTGAGTCTGCCATGAACAGTACTTTAAAACAAAACTTGAGCATTTCAACCCAAAAAGTCTTGCTCGTGGCACTGCCCTTCTCCATCTCACACCTGAAGTCTCTGGCTCTCAGCAGATGGGTCTGCTCACCCGTGATGTCACCCTCGGTGATACCTCCTCTCTGCCACCCCATTTATCCGTCCCACTCACTAAACCATCCAAATGCAGCCACTGGAGTTGGCTGCTCCTCTCCTGCACAGCTCACACCACCCTGGAGGATGTGGCGTTACCAGTGAAGCCAAGTGACAGGCGGGTGCAGTTACGTACCCTCTTCTCTCTCCTCCCAGGAAGAAGAAAATCCTCTCCGCCCTGAAGAGCTCTCCAGCCAACAGCAGCAGAGTTGACCTACGGGAGCCAACTCCCTTACGAAGGGGTCCCCAGCCGTACCTCCCACCATCCCGCTCCCCTTCCCTGAGGCACGGAGAGATCCTCATCGAGTGGAAAGATGGGACAGTCACTCCTCTTTTTGACAATGTCAGTTATCAAATGGACTAGCTTCAAAGTAACAGAGCTGTTGTTCCACCCCGTGTCACTCTTCCAACCAGGAAGAATGCCACCACGGCCTTTCTGCCCTTGCTGTTTCAACAGTAAGCACTGTTTGGTTTTGGTTTTTTTTGAACACTTGAGTACAATCTCCTTGCACAGCACAGGGTTAAAGCAAGCAGAGTAGATTGTTTGGTTTGTAGAGGCACATGCTGCTTAGCAGTTCCAGAGCTGCTTTAACCCATAACAAAGCCCAGGTTTACCTAAATGAAGCTGAGACTTTCACCAGCTGCAACTGCTCATTGAACCGAAATTCTAGATTACTGAGCACATGAGAAAGTAAATCTCTGAAGATAAGGTATAAGGGAAAAAAATGAAATCTCGATGATCCATAAATTCTTTTTAAGACAAAACTAGCTGTCAACAGGCACAGGAACCTGTCGGTTATGTTGTCAGTGTGAGAATATAACTAATAAGCACTACTTTCAGAACTCAAAAAATTATAGTCTCCTCCAGATATCTGCCAAAATACTTACCCCCACTAAGTTGTCAATTAAGTAACAGCAAGCAATTTTTCTAACTTAAAAGGCAGCAGTCCATTGTCCTCTCTGCATGTCTGCAAGAGCCCTGCTGAGAGAGCATGTGTCTCTCCAAATACTTCCCTATTTAGGATGTACAAAACCTTATTAAAACACACATCCTCTTTTATTAAACAGACTGGCAGGTAATGTCAGTCATGCTTGTTGGGGATATTGCATATAGAGCCACGTTATACCAGCTTCAGTCTCTGATCTCCTATAATCACATGAAATACTCAATGAACAGATATATTGCTCCCATCAGAGCAGTAATATAGTTTGGGGTTTTTTTCTAGACAGGAGTTAAGACACTGTTTTCAGCCTTTACACTTCTTGTTTGAGGGTAATTACCTGTGACTGTCACACTCAGTCCTGGTCTTTTCTCGGGGAAACTTGCAATGTCTTAGTGCTTTCCTAATATTCACGAATTTATGCTTTTCTTCTCTCTGATTTTGAGATGATGTAATCATGGCTATAAGTCAGGAGTTACTTGGACAAAGAAATACTAACACCAGGAAATTACAGGTATGAGCTGTGTCAGTGTATTCGTTCAGCAGAGCAAGGAAAACCATATCCTCATGTCTCTTACTAGAACAACTCTTTTCACTTTACCTAAATTAGGTTGTTCTGCTATTTCAGTGTAGCTTGGACTTTTCTAGAGTTTGACTTTATTTAACCTATGGCAGAAATAAGGTTCCTCTAGGGAATTTAAAGTCTCTTCCTTTTTTAAATTTTTCTTTTTAAATATAGATCGACAGCTTGGTAAAAGGTTTACTGCCATGAGATACTATTACAAGCAAAAACTTAACTGTTCTCAAGAAAGAAAATAAAAGCCCTATTGGGTTCAGAGCATGAAAATTGTTGAGGTCAGAAATAAATGTCTTCCCCAGGCATATTATTCCTTAATTATTTACTGGAGGGTTTCCCAGACGCTCCTTGGAAAAATAATTTACTACTAGACATGGGCAGAGGAAGAACTCTTTCTTCACCAGTGAGCAGGGAACACAAAAAAGAATCAGAGTTAAATTCTGACTTTCCAATGTTTCCACTTTAAAACAAATTCAAAGACTTTGGGGTCAAGGTTCCAAATGTGCAAGCATCATTTTACTTCGAAAATTTGTGGGAATGCATTCTGTACATAAATATCTCAAAATGCACAAGAAGTGCCTCACCAATTATCACAGTTACAACCCCTCACCAATTATCACAGTTACAACCCTTATACCTTCTTCTACCAGAGTTAAGATGCCTGCCTTTGAAATTTTGTCCAAGGAGCACATCACCTCACAGTGCACAGCACTGGTCACCCTCCAAAATCTGGACACACTTTGGGAACACTGAGTAAGCAGTGCCTTTAAAAGAGAAATAATGGCTTGGGAGTTCAGCTCCTTGCTTTCCAAAGCAACAAGAACCTATGTTCATTACTGCTGAATGGGCAGAACTGATGACTTGTTAATGACTCTCTGTAACTCGTACTTAATATGTTAATCTTGCTCATAAACACGAAGGCAGCAACACCATTGTTTACACAGCACTGATTAAAATGTAGCTCAAACAGTAATGAAAAAACAAGACTGAAGCAGCACAGGCTTTTAACTCTTCTCTCACCCTGTCTGTAGCTTTTTGTTATTTCTCACTAGTTTACTCACATTAGATGCTAGAGACCAAATGTTGCCAGGTATGGACAGAGGAACTGAAGGTGTGAGTCTTCATCAGGAGAGGTCTTAGAAAGAACCTTGGCCAAACATACATCAGGAAAGACTCCAAAATAGCTGATTCTGCCATGGGGCTGGACCTTGTGACAGTGGGATTCACCTTCCATCCTCTGGTTCTGAAGTTAGCTGAGAAACACTCAGACCAATCGCACAGCCTGTGTGCTTCCACTTCTGTGACTACCTGAGTGAAATGCTTCTGAACAGTGTTCATAATCAAAATAAAACTTGACTGTAAAGTGGAGGACATTGAAGTTGTTTATGTGTGTATATATGTATCTGTATAAAAGCCTCCTTAGAGTGCATCCTTTTTTTGTGCGTATGCATGTATACATGCATACATATATATAAAGATGCACTGTAAGAAGGATTTTATAAATTTCTCCACAGGAAGATAACAGAGTAATGAGCAAGGCACTCCTGTCACACTGGTACTAAGATTATGAACGGATACTGCACCAAAAGATGAGTGGCTGCAGCCACAGAAACACGGATAGTATTAAACAGATTGCACATAAGCTTAAATATCCTGTACAGAAAATGTATTAACCACATAGATTTCCCTTTCTCATCCCCCTGAAAAATGTACGGCTAAGATGTCTGTTAAAGATCAAAAAACAAAAAGAAAGAGGCCAAAGAACTTCAGGTTTACCATCTCAACCAACTGTACCTCAACCGTTTACTAACTTTTTGGATGGAAAATGTTCTCGTAACAGTACATTAGGGATTTACATAAATTCATGATATGAACAAACAAGAACTGAAATGATTTGACAAGTGATCACAGCATATCAGTGGAGGAGCTGGGAACAGAACTACTGCTTCCTCATTTGAAATGCAAGGTGTGACTTTTGCAGCAAGAATTCTGTTATTAAAAATCTCCATATGCTCATTTGCTCAACTCTGTAGCTCTGCATCAGCAAGTCAAGATACATCAAGTGTTTCATTTTTCAAAAAGACCTGTGGTTGTTCAGTACTTCAAGGGAGGAAAAAAATAAAAAAAAATTAAAAAAAAGGAAGAAAATGAGACAGGGACAGAGGAAGTCTTTGTTAGATCTAGGTTTCAATTCAGACACCTCTGGCTCACGTTTCAATCAGATCATGCCTTTTTGTGTTAGCTAGACAAGACAAAAGCACGAGCTCTTTAAAGGTTCTGTGTATCTTCACTGAATTTCTACAGAGTTAACAGAGGAATCTACATTTCTGCAGCCATGTAGTTCTTCCTCCAATTTAAAAACAAACAAAAAAAACCCCGAAAAAAACCCAGGCCATTTTCCTTCAGAAATTCCCCTTATCCTTCACAGAAGAACTTATTCTTTGGAGCAGAGAAACTGATGCGCTTCTTTCAGCGTTGCCTGCATGTCCTCATACTCTGCCAATTTGCAAGCATCCTCCAGCTTCAGCCACTGGAAAGCTTGGTGCTCCTCCGACAGCTTTATTTCTGTGTTGCAGTCCTTCACTTCTGCCAGCCAGTAAACCACGGTCTTGGGTTTGCCACGGACAGGGTAGTGCAGCTCCTTCCTGTAGCCCTCTACGAGGGTGAGCTGGCTGGCCTGCAGACCAGCCTCCTCCTGCGTCTCCCTGAAGGCTGTCTGCAGGTCATCCTCACCTGGGTCCACGTGGCCTGCCAAGAGGGTGGAAAAGTCAGTCTCTGAGAAGGAAACTTCCAGTCAACAACTGGGAAACACTGGGAGACAGAGATGGGAGCACACTGCAGCTGATATGGGACGAAACGGAAATTCGGAGAGCAGGGATTGCTTTTCCAACTCTTATGTCTTGATTTGTCTTTGCCTTCTGGCTTTTAGGATCACTGTTTACCCCACACCTTCTGAAACCCCCAGTGGCCTGGTCAGCACTAGACATGTTTTCCTCCCAGTCTTCCTCTAGTCTTCTGGAGCACTTTACACCTGTTCCACCTTAGATTATACTGAGGACCAAGTCTCTTATGAATGTTTTTCCTTCATCCTGTTAGAGGGGAGACTGCTCATCTGCAAGTGTCTTAATCCTCTCTCAACCCTGCCCTCCCACATAAGCTTAAGGCTCAGTTCTGCAAAACTCTCACTCATGCCAACAGACCAGAAACAACGGGACCAGGCACCAACAAATGCCCATTTAAAAGGTGAGTTTCATCTATGCAGTCAGCATCTTTTTATTTTTTTTTAATTTTTTTTTTTTATTTCTCTCCCATATTCCCCCATGAATACTCTCTCTCCCATATTCCCTCTCTGAATCCTCAGAGCCAGTCCTTTCACCAGCTGCATGGTTCTCCTAAGACACATCATTTATTTTACATTGCTCAGAACGAGAGGTGCCACTACAAACAACGGATAAATATAACACATCCCCAGCCGTTTGTACTTTTGTTGAGAAATGTCAGATTTGGTTTTCTCATGAAAGCTCCAGACCAGAACATAAATAGAACAAGCCAAGCAAGACCTCAAAAAAGCAACATACCAGGAGTTGGGAGGTTTTAAAAGGGAAAAAAAAACCCTAAGCTTTATTTTGCCTCTGGTGTCACTCAATTTTCTACATAGCTGGTTGCAAATATCCGTAATTTAATTACAGAGATAAATCCTCCCTCAGGTCACAGGTACCCAAAGGCCTACTCTAGTACTACAACTGGGGTATGTGGGAAGTTGGTTTTGCTCTTGCAACAGGTCTCACTCGCTTCTTTGTCTGTGCACCAGAAGTTTAAATACCTCTTACAACATAACACCAACTCAAAAGCAAAATATGCTTCTCTTACAAGCAGCAACTGTGCAGAAAGCAGTATCTGAGGTTGATATCTGTTGACAACCTCAGATATAATCTCAGTAAGTTTCCAAGTTGCACAGTGCAGTCTACCTGCTGGGGAGAAAAAGGACTGGTGGTAGCACCTCGCACCACAGCTTTCAGATCCTCTCAGCTGTTTCCACTGATGCACTTCCAACATATTGAGGAGGAAAACGAACCCCACATCCCCTTCCCTTCCCATCAGCCTTGGCTAGCGCAAAGTCACAGTTCTAGAGGCAGAGATGAGGCTGATGAGGTTCACATGGGGAAATCCAAGCAAGTTGAGTTTAATCCCATAGGATTGCAGCTGCTTAGGGAACTTTTAAAATAACAAGGTACAGCTGTAGCTGTAAACTGCCTTTCGTCTGTGCTTGGAAAGACAATTACAATGTCACCTTCTGGCTCCTGCCACATTGAATCTATGTCAACATCACAGACAAGCTATGTATATGGGCAGATTCAGACTACAGACAAGAAAGACTTTTTTTATCATTAGAATGGTGAAAACACTGGCACAGGCTGCCACCAGAGAGGTGGTGGAAGCCCCACCACTGAAAACATCCAAGGCCAAACTGGATGGGCTCTGAGCAACCTGCTCTTGTTGAAATGTCCCTGTTCACTGCTGGGTGGTTGGACCAGATGATCTTTAGAGGTCCCTCCCAACCCAAACCATTCAACGGTTCTGTGATTCTGAGTGTGTGAGATGTATGCCCATGAGACAATTAACTCCATACCAAAATGCCTCCAAGTAATTTCAATTGCTTCTCCAGAATTACTGTGTTCCCAGGGAGCCTTTTCACGTGGGTCTCCTCTCACAACAATCAATCATGTCTTTTAGTTTTCTGGTTTTCCATGAGGCTGCAAACTCAACTCCCTTAGGCTTTTGGTGAAGTGGATAAAGGGGGAGGTTTGGAAAGTTTTCTTCTTTCCCTTAATAGGAGAGCGTAGTTGGTACTGTTAAAAGATTATTTTTTTTCCCAATTTGCAAATTCCCATTTACAGACTGCTGCACTAGGCTTTAAAAGCACTGCATTTGACAAAAAGATAAGTGAAAACTATCAGGAAAAAATCTCAGAAGGTAAAAAACCGTGTGTAAGAAGATCTGCAAGGAACCTGAAGTATTTCTGTGCTGCACTTTTCCTGGTTATCAGGGCAGAGACTGCGTACTGCCAAACACCATCTCTGCCACCTTTCTTTACAGAGAAGGTGCTGCTCTTTGTCCTGGGGCTTGTCTTCTGCTTTGGGACCTCACTGATGAGCACTGATGGCTTAGGTGAAGATGGCTGACAGGAGAATTCACCTTATCTGTGCCTCTCATCTCCACTGCATTAGGCATGAGATTTTCACCAGTGATGTCCCTTACAAGGAATTCCCGCAACTTCCAAGAAAAGTGTTTTAAAGTGTACCATTGCAGACTTCAGTTTGCCTTGTTGCAGACTGTGACCCCTCTGACTAGACACGGGTCAACCAACCTGGTCAGTGGTACCTGACAGAGGATCAGATCTGAGCAAAAAGGTAAAAAATTCACTTGCTACCTCAGTCGCGTGCTGAAGGTCTGCCAGAACCGTGAGATACATGAGGAGCACGACTGGGTGTCACCCCTAGCCCCAACCGAAATTAGTCGCCCAATACCTTATACAGTATCCTTTGCAAACGACTTAAGCCTCAAAACTCTCCCCGCAGCTGCAGGAGCAGCAGCATCAGACAAACACCACAATCAGCAGCTACTCTGGGCTGGTAACTGCCTCTCTAAGTTGAGCTCAGCAGCACCGGGCCAAAGTCCAGTCTGCAACCTCACACCAAGAGTGTTATCAGAACAAACATCACCTTTTGGCGGGGTCCAGTGGTGGGTGCCATAGGATGTCTGCAGGAGGAGGTACTCGATGCTGTCAGCGACCTTGGAGGACGGTGCTGGCTGCAGCCTCCTGTAGATGATCAAGCCACAAGCTCTCACAGCCATTCCTCCTCTGCCAACTGCACCGAGAGCTGTGGGACAGCACAGGGGGATCAAAGAACAACACAAAACATGGAGCTCAAATGGATTATTTGTATATAGCCAGCAAATGTATCTCAGCAGAGCTAAAAGTTGTCCACCCCCTTGTATTACTACACAATCAAACTGCATCTTATTAACTATCTTTGAAATGTGAAAAACCAGAATCCTTTCCTTTTTCAACAGGAATCTATATAAAAGCTTTTTAAAAAAGAAGAAAGAGGTTATCAAGAAGCATGAAATATGACCTGCATGACATTTCTTTGCTGTTGATATATTATGGTATATTACAAAACATATCACAGGGAGGGATAAAAAATTATAAAGCAAAGGCAAAAAGGAAAGCCTTTTCCACTGCAAAAACTGAAAGGTCCCGTACAGAGATAATACTTCAACATTACTGGAACTGACATACAGAAATAATTGCCCTGCAGCAGAGAAGTCCTTAGGATGTCAGTGAGAAAATGAATTGCAAAGGACAGGCTCTCTGCTGTCTGGGGTAGAGATAAATCTGTTATACAGAACTAAAAGCTTCTTGGCATGTGTATTAAGCATTAATTTGATGTAAACAGTAAAGGAACACACCTCTCAAGTGATAAACACAGTCATCAATAAGCCACGCAGCCGGGATGTCTGGCCCTATACAGAAAAAGAGGGAAAGCGACGGAGATGAGTCATCCACGTTAAAGGTCTGGGAGATTCCAGGCAAAGCTTTGCATTTTGACAGAGATACACACTTCAATAAATAATAACTTCACACAACACTGATCTTCCCTGGGACGCCAAGCGCGGCATCGTGTGACACCTCCAGATTCCAGTGCGGGATAAACCGCAGCACGGAGCCCTTCGCCACTACCCACGCCCCTGGACGGCGCTCAGCTCTCTTGGTCAACCCCTTTAACCGCCTCCGTTAGCTTCCGATCAGCCACGACAAGGACAAACCCCCTCGCCGGCCCCCACAGCCCCAGGATCAGCCCGGGGGACCAGTCCGGGGGACCAGCACCACCTCCCGTACACGCCGGGAAGGACAAGGACAAACCTCTCCAGGCCTCCCACGCCGCTGCCCGGCGCCCCGGGGCCGCGCTCCCATCCCCGCCCGCAGAAGGTCACCCGCCGTGCCCAGGGAGGGGGAGAGGTGTGGTGGGACACGGGGAAGCGGGACGGGGAGAACCGGGACACGTGTCCCCCCGCGGCGGCCGCCATAGCCCCCCGCCCTCACCTGCGCTTCCGGGTCCCAGAGTGGGGGGGACGCAGCGCACGACTGACGGCGGCTTCAACCAATGGCAGCGCCTCCAGCGTGGGCGGGAACCACTGCTGTCTCGCTCCGCCCTCCCTCTCCCCGCTCCCGCTCTCATTAGGCCCCGCCCTCTCTCTCGTTGAGGTTTCTGATTGGTCTCTCACCTCCGGGCCACGCCCTGCCCGTCCCTCTCCCCTCTCCCTATTGGCTGGCTGGGGGCGCGAGGCTGCGCGCGGGCGTTTGAAGCGGGAAAAGCGTTGTTGCCATGGAGACACGGCCCAATGGCCGCCGCCGAGCGGCGCCGCGGCCCGTGAGGGAGCGAGGGGGGTCCCTGCCCTGAGGGGACCGGGGTGGCCGCGACCGGGGAGGGCCCCCGCACCACCGCCCTGCCCGGCCCCGGCGCGCTCTAGAAGGGGGGAAGCCGTGGTAGGACAGCGCGGGGAAGGATGAGAGGAGATATCCCCCCTCGGTCAGCCACGCGGTGCAATTCCGGACGCGCGGAGGTTTGTTCGATACATTATTATAATTGTAAACCAAAATTTTTAAAATAGTATTTTCTTTATTTTATATTTTCTATATTTCACATTTTCTATATTTCATATGTAATATATAAAATATTTAAGCATACTTTTAAAAGATATACTTAAATATTTTGTCTATATTATATATAATATAGATATCAGTGTATAACATGTATTATATAATCATACATACTTACATAAAATATATAAAATATTTAAATACATACTAAATATAAGTATTTAAATATTCATTTAAAATACATATGTATATGCATTACATAAAATATCAGAACACTTTATAATATATATTTTGTATTTCACGTATAATATATCAACTATATTTCGCGTGTTTTGTATATTTCGTTATAAAAAATTAAAATTATAAAATAAAACCTCAGAAGCCGTTTGGTAAATCCTGCTGGCAGAAACAGCTTGGGCGAGGTTTTCAAATAATCAGTTTTCCCGATATAACTCGTGGGTTATTTTCTCGGCACGTGGATGGATATTGGACGCTTCCAATATCCAGTATTCCAATAGTGGACACTTCCCCTCTCTGTGCAGCTGTTCTTGGCAGCTGTTGGGATCAGCTGCAGGATGGAGCCTCTTCTGCTGAGGTCACCAGGCTATACTTAGTGTGGAGGGAGGATTAAAATACCCCAGAATACTCTCTTAGGAAACAAAAAAACCCCCCCAATATTTAGTTGTTTCTAAGCCTGCTTAAAGAAGCAAGGACATTAATTGTAGTTTTAGTGGCCTGCTCTGGGTCAGGTGTGTCAGTGGCAAAGGAAAGGGGAGCATTGCTGACCTGTGTCCTGGTCCAGCTGTAAAATAGTTGTCATTTAGCATTAAAAGCTTTCCCTCCTCTCCAGTTACTTTTGCTGTACTGAGGCTGAAAGTCGCTATCTATTCAAAGGGCTGCCCCAACACTTGTTCCAAGGAGGGGCAGGATGTTTAATGCCATGTTGTTTACGTGCACAGAGTGGAGTAATCCTGTGATCTTCCAAGGGGATCTGCTGCAACGTCAAACATGGCCTCACAGCTCCCTACCTGCTGCGTTGAACTAAAATTATGGACTCTTTTTACAATACAGATTATCTCTTGTTGTTGAGCTTGTCTTTATAAAAGTGCAACACACCCTGACCCCATTCTTTGCAGGAATGCCCTAATTCCCGAGAAACGGGGTCAGAATGATTTAAAGGTGAAGCATTTTGTGTGGTGCTCTGGAAAAGCAAATTAGCCATTCACTTCTGGAGGGCTAAATCAGATTTGGCTTCGGATCACAGTTAAAGAAAGAGCTTAATGCTCAGATGAATAAGGAATAACGATGGATGAGTGTTGACGTGTGTTAATGTGATTCCCTTTTCCCTATTGTGTGATTGCCAGATTGGCTTAGTTCTTGTCTCTGCTCCCGTGTTTGAAAAACCAGGCAACACTTTGGCGTGGACAGAGCCTGTGCTGGAGTCTTCTTTGAGGGGGATGTGGTTGCAAGTAGTGAGTGCAGCACGCTGCTGTGGTTGTGATCAGGAGAGGAAACACCTACCTGCTGCATGCATTTACAAACTTTGCAAGTTTCTAACTTTTATTTGTATAAGTATTTGTAAAGCTAAATGATCTGGATGGAAAACAAGGTGGTGTTTAGGTTTTGGACACTGATTAACAATTTCTTTGTTTATCAAATACCCTTGAAAATCGTGCCTGGTAAACCTATTTAATGATCAGGCCAGAGTTTATGATTCAGAATGATTGCCCTAGGGTATTTGAATGTGTAGTAGCATTAGTTTGCCTTTCTAGGAGTGTCACTTAAGATTTCCTCACTTTTCCAAGGCTTAGTTTCCCTAGTTTAAAGTATGGATATAGTGATCACTTGTGTCATTTCTCAGTGGTGGCACTCAGGACCATCAGTGGCAATAATCTAAAATTCTCAGGTCAGTGTGAGTGAACTACAGCGGGATAACCGGGCACGTGAGCGTTATTCAGGTGAATGCTGCACTGAGATCACTGACATATCAGAAGTTAATAAGGATCAAAATATAATGGTCCAAGGCTGATTATTCTTAAAATAGCCCACGTGGGGATTTTATGTGATTTATTTTACACGCAGTGATTGACACTCTCTGAGTATCTTTGAAGAACCAGCCTTTTCTCCACTTTGAAAAGTGCATTGAGAAGGAGAAGATTAGCTCTGTGAAAGAGCTTATTAATAATTAAAAGCCTTTTAAAACGGAGAACGAGCTCATAGAGCATAATTTTGTGGTAAGTTAATTTCCTGCAGAACAGAAAAATGTAACCACTCCTTTCTGCTGTTTACACCTGACTTTTCTTTTTCTGCAGCTTTATGACATTTAAAAACCTCTAATGCTGAAACAGAGGATGAGCTCTCTAATGACAAGCTGTGATCTAATTCCGTGGTTAGACCTAGTCCCTTTATACATAATTCTAGTACCTTTTTACAACAAGTACTCGTCCATTACCAGCATCTGGCAGCCTTCTAAGATCTTTGTAAAACTTCTTGGCCTAAGAAATAATTTGCAGAGCACTCGAGTTTGCCACATAAAGATGGCAGGCTGGGTGTGCGTGGAGAATTGTACTTCCACAGTGACTCACCTCTTGATTATCAAGATGTGTTATACCCAACTATTTTAAGAAGTCTTAGACTTATATCTCAACCCTGTTTTTTTCAGTGAAGTCACTCACAGCCTTGTGGGGAACAAGACCTAGGTTTGGATATCCACACTGAAGAATGTTATATTTTTCTGCCCCAGGACACATTATTCTCTCAAGGGAACAAACAAAATTGGATTCTGACAGTAACTGAGGGAATGCTGGCTGTTATTTATTTTATAAGAGTCAAAAGCCTTCTCTTTCTTTTGCCAGAAGATGGCATTAACAATTTAGAGTTCTTGAAAACCTCTTCTTAGTTTTTGCAAAGCCGATTTATTTTGAAAGACTATGTATCTGTTAGGAAAAGTGCCTTCAGACACAAAGTGTTGGATGAATTAAAGTATTCTTTAATGAGGAGAAAGGAGGCTTTTTTTTTTTAGGGCATCATTGAAAGGCCTGAAAGATTTCAATGACAACTGCAGTTCTCCCTGAATTCTCTTGTGTATGAACCAGACCAAATCTTCTAGAAATTGTCTCCTCTCACATTTTAAAGCAATCAGAAATGCTGGAACATGTCATCATAATGACTGATTAATTTTCTTCCCCATGGCTAATTAATTTGTTACTCCTTAATTATTGAATGTTCGGTTTTCCTAGTTTGTGTGATGGGAAGTCCTTTTTGTGGATGGGAAGTCATTGGAGTTATCCCCTGAAACCACTCAGATCCAGTAAGACTTATTATATCTGGGAAGGCAGATCTCAGCTTTCATTAAGAGATCAGCCCTCACTAAGAAGCCATTTAGTTGCTTTCACATGGCAACAGACCTTAGCAATTAGCCATGCAGAGCTGCTTACATGGCTCAGTACTAACCTTCTCCTCTGTTCTGCAGTTCTTGCATTACTTGGTGTTTCCTCATTTTGAGAATTCTTGCCACTTGTTACTCTGTATAATGAAAACCTGTTATTTCTAGCTATTTAAACATATTTTGTTTCATTTTTAATTAGACCTTTGACCTTCAAATTCGTAGTTCTCTCCCCTTGTCTGCTGCTCCTTTTTCAGGAAGTGTCTCCATTTTTTCCCCTTTTTGCCTTTCTTCTCTGTGCTGTGTTCAGTTATAATTCAAACTGAGGTTAACACTGAATCAGTTCTTGCACTGGGCTTTGGCCACTCTGTGTTTAACATAAGGATATATAAAAATATAGGTGTAAATTAGGATGCAGATAGAGAGTAGAGAAAATAAATTTGTCGGATTATTTTGAACAGATTCTCAGTTCTTTTGAGATTGGTGTTTTGGCTTTGAGTTCTCTCTGCTCCTTTCATCAAGCAGGAGTTTCCCATGGCAGTGCACAGAGAGAGTTGCACAGGACCTGTACTGGTTTTACATTATAAGCCATCTTATGTAAAAAAGGGAATTTTTCCAAGACATAACTCTTCTTTAAATGAAGTCTCAGGTTCCTGTGGAATTTTATCTGTTAGAGAAGTTGGCAAGTTGTGAATGCTTGTGAAACCCTTGCACGTCTTCGTGTTTAACCTCCCTGATTTCTGGGTTTGCTATCCTCCCTGTCAATTTTGATTCACCCCTCCCAGGATCTCACAACCTCAGCAGTGACTCTGACTTTACCTCAAGATTCAGAATCACATTACATACACATTAAATAAATCCAATTACATACCAATGCTTTTGTCTTGAAGTTTGTCGCTGCTCAATCTCAGAATTTTGTCTACAGCATAGACTAACTTCTGAGTCATTTGAGATGACCTCTACTGCACCTTTTGACCTTTGTAATGTCTTATACAATCAGCACTTTATATTAATCTTTTTTATTTTGTTGTTATTATTATTTCAACATAATGTATTAATTAATGATATGGACTCAAAGTTGGGGATGATATTTGGTGACCTTATTTTCTTAAATAATGTATTGTAGAGAAGCTTGAAAATCCTCACAAAGAATCTACCCTGAATTACAGGGAGGAAAATTTAGGCCTTAAAAAACTTGATTTTGTTGAATCTTATTGTATTTTCCAAAAATTAATAAGATCTATAGTTGCTGAAGCCCTAGACCGTACAAAGATATAAGAAGAGAGTGGGCAACAGATACTTGAAGTGCTATCATTTTTCCATTTTGTGGAACAAGTAAAAATATCTGCAGATATTAATCCATCTGGATACAGACAGCTGCACAATGCATTGCCAGTGAGACATGAGTGAAGAAGTTGGAGGGTTTTTGGCATACCTTTCAGTGATGCATGTTGCTTTTTCGGGTTTCCCAAGAACACAAGTGTGACGTTCCAGTGGCACACGTAGATTTAGAGAAATCCTATGTTTCAGACTTCAGAGAATGTTTGGGTTATTCTGCCAAGGAGACTCAGAAATGCTCACAAGATTCATGACATAAAAGAGAAACCTACATAGCAAAACTACAGCTTTGCTATTGTTCATCTGTAAGACAAACGGTCTTAATTAGGCACCTTGAAGTGAGGAACAAATGCAGGGTTTTTTCCTCCAGGTTTTTTTAACCAGGGCTAGCTGAACCACATTAGACCACACGCCTTCATATTAATGTGAGTGTCTTCTAAAATTAGGCATTTTACATTCTGCAGCTTGAGGACAGGGTTTCAGTAGCTGTGGCATTCATCAAGTAGACATCGGGCGTGTAGCAACTCAGCAGCAGTGAGTAACTTTGCCTTGTGCATTTCTTACACATTGTATATTGTATATAATTTTGAAATATAATTTGATAGATAAAATACAGTTGTTTTATATTTTAGTTTATCGTTATTGGAATATTCTGTAACGTTTAACAGTCTAGTGTATTACAGACTTGGATTTAAACAAGCTTCTAGCCTGAGTGGCTGGGAGGAAATGGCATTGTGGAAATGTGCAGTCTCTTCATTAGTAACTTTGTCAGATGTGATGTTTCATATGACTCTAATGTTTATTTTGTTTGATTTCTTTTAGACTTTATCTTGAAGATGGCATCATGCCTTTATGAATGCCTTTGTGAGGCAGACCTTGAAAAATACTATCCCCATTTTGCTGCCTTTGGTCTTCAGAATATCGATGAGCTTGCCAAAGTTTCCATGGAAGACTACACCAAACTGGGGGTCCATGACATGAACGACCGCAAGCGGCTCTTTCAGCTCATTAGAATAATCAAAATTATGCGAGGGGAAGGCGTTGCAGACTCAAGCAAGCAGGATTTTCAACCGCGTGGCCTTTTCATTCAGCCCCAGGTGGCCAGGTCAGGTCCCCGTAGGCAGCTGCGTTTTGAGTCCTTCGTTGAAGAGAATGATGGAACAGTGAAAGACTCTGAGCGTGAATTGTATCGTTCATCTGATTTCAATGCCAGTGAGGAGAAGGACAATGCAGGGGAAATGTTGGGACACGTTCAACCACAGGACTCAGAGCCAATCAGATTAACTAGAAGGGACCTAAATATTCCTGGAATATGCACGAAAAAGGACCTGAGCTGTCCAGCGGTTTCTGATGATATTGCCCCTCTCCTGGGGGATTCTGAAGCTCCTATTGTGCAAAGAGTAACTCATATTTCAGGGTATAATTACGGACTACCTCATTCCTGTATCAGGTAATGATCACTCACCTTTATTTTGCTAATATTTAAGGTTAGTCATAATTAATTCTTTCTTAATTGTGGAGAAGGATCTGTCTTTGTCACGTCCAAATAAGCAATCCCAGCACTACAGAGCAGTGCAAAATCTTGTAGACAAGAGGGGGATTAATAAGCACTTGCAACTCTCTGAGTCTTGTAGAAGGAATCATCTGAATTTGACCAGCTGCTACTCACCAGGTTGTCTAAGAATAGTCAACCTGGTGAGGTTGTCTTTCAGGATATAAGGCTTTGTTTTCTTGGTGTTTTGGCGAATCTTTGTCTTTCCATGGGACCATCTTTTAAAACATTATTTTCCCAAAAGATGGTGTTGTCTGTTGTCAGGTTTGTCAAGCTTTTCCCAGTAGAAGGGATACACGCTGTGATGGCTATATTTGTTTCTAATGGAATTTCTGAACTGAAACTTTAAAAGGAATCAGAATGGGAATTCTGGGGTAGGTTCATGGTGGTAAGAGGGATGCCTTTCAGCTGCTCCCCAGGATCACGATCTGTACCTTCCATACTTTTCCTGGTATTTGGTAACAGAAAAGCTATGATTATCATGAAATCTACCCTGGCAACATTTTTAAAGCACCAAATATTTTTCTTCCTGATGCAGCATCAGAGATCCTCTGCACACAGAATACCAGTATCTTGGTCGTTGCAGTGCAGTCATGGCATTTTTGTTTTAAAATGCAGGGAGGAGAGACAGCTGTATGAAGTTGGAGCTTGTCTATATTGGCTGTGGGAAAAGATTTGGTATATGAGAGGATCCATGGAGTCAAGGTATCAATTACAAATCCCACTGAGAATGCATGTAGCCTGGAGAAATAGTTGCTGCTGCCACACTGGAAAAATGCTAAGGTGACATAGTAATTAGGGCACTTAAGCTGTGAAATGCAAGACATTTTATAACACAACAGTTTATAGCTCTCCTTTGCTGGAAAAAAAATCATTTTCACCTACCAGAGAAGTGCACTAACCTCCTGTATATATTGACATTGTGGTGCATTCTCTGTCTTTTCTGGAAGTTGAGCCAAGTGCAAATAAAAGGACAGGATTTATAGTGCTGGCGCATAAAAAATGCTAAAATATAAAACCTAATGGCTCAGCTAGGAGAGTTCAAGATTCTGAATCCTGCAGTAGAGTCTTCATTGTTGTCGCTTTCTTCTGTTTTTTTTCCTAAGCACATTATGCTTCATCTTATGGGCTTTCTGCATCTTCCTCTTGATATGCCTCAGTTCCCTCTTCTCCTTTTTGGAGAGCTGTGCATTTCAGGCTTGGGCCAGTCTTGAGTTTGTAATTCCTGTTGGCAAGACACTTGGGTTTGTAATTCCTGTTTTGGAAGTGCCCAGCTGCTTTACTGAATCCATCCGTTCCCATGTTACCTAGTCTAGTCTCATCCATGAGAAATATTGGAAAACACTGACATGATTTCAGTGGAAAGATATAGAGTTATTTTAACGTTTAAATTTATTTTGCTCTTGCCCACAGCAAATGCGTTGATTTTGACAGGGCATAGTGATTCTTCCGACCTATTATCTAGTCAGGTTTCTAATGATCTGTGTCAAGACTTTTGTTTGGGTTTTTTTTCTGGTAATAAAAATTATATTGTACTATGAAATACAATTTATATTTTCAAAAGGTTAGTAGGAAATACAAACCTCAGGTTTAGCATATATAATTAACATGCATTCTGTTCCCATACAAAATACACTTAACTAAATGTGTCTGTGTACCTGAGAGAATTTATGCCTTTTTGCTCATTGCCAGAGCCTCCAAGTCTTCAGTTTTTCCTTTCTCCAAATTTTGCCATCAACACTGCCTCCTTCAAGCTCTTAGAGCACAACAGGCTCTTTCTGCAGATCACCAAATCCAGCCTCTGACTCAAGAATTGAACTTCAGAGCTGCTGGTCATTTGTTGCACGACATTTGGTGCCAAGTGATACCCATAAGATCACATCCACTTATGAAGCCTCTTATTTCAAGTATCACTGCCTTTCTTTTCCAGGGGAGGAATTTTCCACTTAAAAGCAGGGCCTGATGCTGGTCTGCATGGGAGAGCTGCACTAAAATTAAATGGAATCCAGTTACAAGTAAAGATTGTAACTGGTGTGTGGTCTTCAAAGACCATGTCTTGAGATTTGTATCTGTCATGTGCTTCTGGGAAATGGAGCAGCACAATAGCAACGATACCACAAGCTGGTAGCTGTAATGAGATGTTGAGTAACTTCTGGGTTTGATTTCAGTTTATTAGACAACTAGTATGTGTTAGTTTTCAGTTGCTACAGTACGAGATTTTGGCATTCGGACAGCATGGCAGAAACACAACTTTTGGGCAAGTTGGGGCTTGATTAGTTGAAACTCAAATCCAGGCTGAAAATCATTACTCATTTGGCTGAAGACAGCTTGAAAAAGGGAGAGGTATAATGAATACATTGTTGTTAAATTCGAGCCTGTTCTTTATGCTGCATCACAAAATGCTTTACACAGCAGGTTAATCAATGAAACATGAAATGACCTTTGTTTCTGAGGTGTCTGGAAGGGAACTAAAGTAGACTTGCCAAAACATAAGAGCACAACCTTGTCAGTGGTCTGAAACCACATAACTTTTTACGAAAAAAGACCAAAGGGGAGACAATGACACATTTCAAATTTTTTTGAGCTGAATAGAACATTGTGATGCTGTTTTATTTCCCAGTTTGGGTCATTTACTTGTAACCTGTTTGACAGTCTATAATGGGAAGAATGACCGTCCAGCATAGGAGGAAAAGGATCTAAATATTATACCTTCTCCTTTTCAAGATCTATTCATACTTTTATCTGTACGTTTTCAAGTGACTAATTGTGAGTGCAAATAATTTCAGCAAGATTAAATTTCATTATGTTAACTTCCATATTATGCCATCTTCCATCACATATTTGTGTGCAACTGAAAAGGTGTCAGTCCAGCAACAAAGTCAGGAGTGTGGCTGTACAAACTCAACTTTTAACAGGAGTGCACAAAAAGCATCAGCCTGTTTAGGAAAAAACATCAGAAAATTCATCGTGTAAGAGTGAGGCGTGTTATGGAGTTTTTTGATAAGCATTAAAGGCAGAAACATTACCTGATAAAGCTGACAAATTCAGGCATATCCTAGATACTGTTGTAACCTGATTTTAAAATGTAAATCTACACTATTGTCGTAGATCCAACACTTCTGAGAAAGAGACTCCATGGACAGAGAGTGAGAAAATCAGAGTGTGTGTCCGAAAACGTCCTCTAGGCCTGAGGGAGGAGCGACGGGGGGAGGTGAATATCATCACAGTGAAAGACAGAGAAACCCTACTGCTCCATGAGAAGAAGGAGGCAGTTGATCTTACACAATATATTTTACAGGTAACATGCTCCACTGGAATGTTGAGTTTATGGGCTGGTCTCATGTGTGGAAGCGTAAAGCATCTTGTGCTTGGAGTTTCCATGAGGGAGAACAGAGAACGGCTGTCAGCATTTGTTACACTGAAATAGATGGTGGGCTTTTCTTCTGATTTATGCCAGCCTGTGGCAGAAAACCTGAGCCTGGAATTTTAAGCTCTAGAAGCTCTAGAAGCTTTTTTAAGTCTCTTGCAGCTTTCTTTGTATGTGGCAAAATAAACCCTCCTGCAGCAATGGCACTTTGCTGCAGGAGAATGTGCCATTGCTGCAGGAGAACTGCCTGCTGCAGAGTCCACTGGTGGCTTCACAGAGTACTCCAGTGAGGGGTTCCTTTTCCACTGTTTCAGCACTGTAGGTCTGTTTCAGTGAATCACATACACGCTCATCCCCTCCATTCCATTGTTCTCAAATTCTCTTGAAAATTAAGTTCCCTTTTGGTCTTTGTTTCTTAATCCTGAATGCTTTGTGCTGTCATAGTTCAAATTCTCCCTTTTGACTGACAGCACCAGGAAGAGAACTGATTTCTAGAGAGCAGCAAGCCATTCTCCCTCTACTGGGTGTTATTTTTACAGTCTGGGTCCTAGGAACAACTGTGGAGTAACCAGTGAAAATCCAGTTTGCAGCTCTCTCAGGTCCTGTTCATGTGCCACATTTTATGGTACAACACATGCAGCAACTCCACCCCAGTCCCTCCATTTGAGGACCTATATTTGGCATGTATGCAGCGCTTATCACCTTCACGTCTTGGTGCTGAAATAACCGTTAACTAATTTTGTTATGTCAGTACAGATAAATGAATTCTTGCTATCAGTCAATATACTCCAAACAAAAGTGCTGTGGCAAAGGCTGTCTCTACTCTGTAGGACCTAGGAGAACTTCTCTGCTTCCAAGTCTGGCTGCTCACCCTGCATCCTTCTCTGGTTCCTATAGAAAGGACAGCAAGGGGTACAGAGCAAATGGGAGGTGGTGGAGCATATTCCGTCACCCAAACTTCAGGCCCATCACAGAGCACATGTGCCCTGTGAGCTGAGACACCCTGGTTTAAGCTGCCTGTGCACTAGTGTGGTTGGTTTGTGCACTGTTGAAATGATTCTCAGTCCTAGAGATCTGCCACCTTAATTTACACTGCAGTGAGTTTATTGGAGTGCAGTGTTACACACCAGTTCACGAGCACTCTTGAAAACCTGATATTTGTGACCATCCCTACAATCACTACTCTTAACCTCATAATGAAGGAGCTCATAATGAACTCTGCTGCATCCTTTCCACAGACCCTGCTTCTTTGAGTCAGAGCTGGAGTGTGGGAAGTTTTGGGTTTTCTTGCCCCCTTCTGAGTTAATACAATCCAGCTTTGCCTAAGAACAGCTCCTCTCTTCTCTGGCACAAAAGTTTTTAAGAACAGAGGCAATTAGTCACAACTTAGTCACAACTGAGGACTAATTTTGAGAAAGGCAAGAGTTGACTCCAAGTTCTTTTTACTGTTATAGTCTTACTGTACATCTGTAGGCTGAGTCATTTCATGAATAGGCTTTCTTTAATTGGTATTTTTTTATTCTTGTGGCATGTTCTGCTTCAGAATGATGGGAAATCAAGGCATTTTTCTTCCCTTTTTTTTTTTTTTCCTATCCTGAGTCTCCTGATTGGTGTGTCCCTGCAATATGTCGTGCTGCATGTTAAGTGTGCTGGGTCACTTTGTGCTTGTTCCAAAGCCATATGAAGTCACTGTAAAGACTTTGGTTATTTAATTTTACCTTTGAGTGGGATTGAAGGGGAAATAAAACGTGTTCATTTTCATGCAAAGATCATCTTTATTTTTCAGCATGTTTTTTATTTTGATGAAGTCTTTGGGGAGTCATGTA